TACTGCAAGCCATCAAGACGTCCGGACTCCCCTGAAGCCAGAAAAGTGCAGATTTACGGACGAGAATGTTTTGCTCTTAGGACACGTTATTCTATACTCTGGAGTCGATCCCGGTCCGGAAAAAACAGCTGCTATCGCCGACTTCCCACCGCCTACCGACAAGAAGGCCGTGCGCTGACTTCTTCTCTAATGCGCGTATTACAGGCGGCTTGTCACAAACTTCGTCGGTATTGCTGAACTGCTCAATAACCTTATCAGGACTGGGGTGGAATTTCAAGTGGCAAATACCATAGGAGGAAGCATTTCAGGCCATAAAACGAGGCCTCCAGACACTTTCATTGCTCGCGCATTTCGACGAGTGCACCGAGACTGGAATACACACCGACGCAAGCAGTGTAGAACTTGGCGCTGTTCTTGCGCAGAGAACTGACGGACTGGAAAGAGTCATTAGTTATGCTAGCCGGTTGCTCTCAGAGACTGAGGCCAACTACTCCGCAACAAAAAAGCAGTGCTTTGTCTGCATATGGGCTACATCAAAATTCCACCCCTACCTTTACGGCAGGCTTTTTAAAGTTGTGAGCGACGAGCACGCCTTGTGTTGGCTAGCTAATTCAAACAAACTCTCGGGTTGCCACGCACGGTTGAGCATGAGATTTCAGGAAGTCGACGTTATCGTCGTTTGGATGTGTGAAGAAAACACTCTGACGCCAACTGCCGGTCTCGTGCCCCATCGAACCAGGTCCACCGTATGACCCGATTGATGTCTGCTTCTTAGAAAACATGAGTGCCATTAGCGACAACGAGCTTATTCGAAACTCAAGAGCTTGTTGATTTCTCCGAAGGTAAAAGCGCTAGTGTTTCGAAGGTATTCAAGAGAGTACTGGCATCGTTCTTCCTGCAAAACATAGTTCTCCTAAAAAGACTTCTCGCCGCTTTGAGCTTAACACCTTGTCGTTGTCTCGCGGTCCCCTCAGCAGCAAGACCAGAAGTCTTTGAGGCTGTACACAACGACCCGACAATTGGACACCTCAGTATTTCTGAATGCTTACGAAAAAACAGGAAAAATACTATTGGCCAAAACTTGCCACCTATGTCACCCCTTACGTCAGGACATGCTGAGACTATCATTAACGAAAGACACCGCCGACAAGACCAGCAGGATTTGTTCAGCCGATCGAATGAACTCACCAACCCTTTCAGCGAATCGGTATGGACCTACTGGGACCATTTCGTACATCGACTTGCGGGAATAAATTGATCGTTGTGACCACCAACTACCTCACACGCTACGCCAAAACAAGAGCTCTGCCTGGAGCCAGTGCCGCCGAGGTAGCGAAGCTCACTTTGAAAACATCGCCTTGCATCATGGAGCACCAGAGGCCTTCATCACTGACAAAGGTAGGGCCTTGACTTCTGAGTTAACTCAGGCGATCTTGGAATACAGCCAGACAAGCTACCACCGCACTACAGCGTACCACTTACAGACCAACGGCCTTCCCAGCGCCTAAACAAGACAATCGCCGATATGGTGGCTTTTTACATCGATGTCGAACACAAGACGTGCGACGCCATCCTTCCGTATGTGACCATCGCATACAACATGGATGTACGGGAGACGACGCAGATGTCACCATACATGTTAGTCTATGGAAGGAACCCGGCCACAACGCTTGACGCCACGCTACTAAACGTCGTTAACCTTGATGTGACTTGATAACCTTGACGTGACTGTCTGCCTTCCGCACGCCGAAGAAGCGTGACAACCCACCCGCCTCCGCATCAAGAACCAACGGATGACTAGCAGTCACCATTAAAATCTTCGATGACACTTCACGGAATACCATCCCGGTGACTGCGTTTCAGTATGGACGCTGATACGTCAACATGGCCTCAGTGAAGAGCTTCTGTGACGGTACTTTGGACAGCACCAGGTAGTTCGACGTCCCGGTACACTCGAATGTGACGCTGTCCTTGATGGCATCAAGAACTCTCAATGACAGCGTGCGCTACCTGAAGCAATTTATGTCGTGTGCCTCAAGCCATTTCATGCGCGTTAACGAACTTGAGGACAGTGTTCTTTGTTGTTGTTTCTTTATTATTGTACTTTATGGTTTGTACCTATCTACTATTTTGTTTTTCTTTGCTTTATTGTTATTAGTTTTATTGTTCTTCCCCCGGTGTTCAGTTTTAAGCATCGCGACAATGCTTTTCAAGAGCGAGGCACCGCCACGCGCATTTATATGTTACACTTATGTTTCTTTCACTTTTCGGCCACAAGCCTGTCTGGAATGCATGCCGCAAACTGCGCCTTGTTCCAGAAGGTCCATAAATATAGTAGACTGCTTTGTTAAGATTACCCCTTCTTCGTGAAACATTAAAGTACAATCTGGAACCTACGTCACAGCTAACGGTAATGCCAGAATGTTCGAAGGCAAGAATAATTGATTGATTTGTGGGGTTTAACGTCCCAAAACCACCATTTGATTATGAGAGACGCCGTAGTGGAGGGCTTCGGAAATTTTGACCACCTGGGGTTCCTTAACGTGCACCCAAATCTGAGTACACGGGCCTCTAACATTTCCGCCTCTATCGGAAATGCAGCCGCAGCAGCCGGGAATCGAACCCGCGACCTGCGGGTCAGCAGCCGAGTACCTTTGTCACTAGACCACCGCGGCGGGGCTTCGAAGGCAAGAGTATAAATGTGCACACGCTTCGCCGCTTCTCAGTTGATTGATGGCCTGTGCTCTGCTTGCCGCTATCAGTGCCCGTGCTTTGCTGTAATCTGACTTAGTTTCTTTGTGGCCACAAGTTCTGCTGAATAAACCGTTCAATCTTCAACCTTCTGTCTGCTCCCTTCGCTGACGTCACAACCCCGTGACAATAATAAACAAGTACAATCATCAGTATGTACTGCACGAAGACAACTCACTAAAACGAAATCGCAAGGCACCCAGTTAATACGCTAAGGCCCTTACTATGAAACCGGCATAGCCATATACCTTTCTACGTTTGCCAGAATCTGCAGACAGACGCCATTAAGTTGGAAAACAAGGTACATGGTGCAGATAAGGAACTCAACAGATTTTTCAACCCTACTCTAGACAAACGAGTTCTCTAGTTTATACAGTGCTAAAAAGAACCTGTATATATATACCAAAAGTGGTCTCTTTTGCGTTAATTCCTTCCCTTTGGAGATTTTTATGAGCAACAACCCTACAGTTCGGTACGTATGGCATCCGCACATACGCAATTATTGGAATATGGAAGAAGTATATGCGAAAAGATTATGCGGCAATCCGCATATAAGGAATGCCGAATGATGCGGAAGGGTCCGCACATAAGGAAGTGAGTGAGTAAAAACTTTATTGAACATGTTTGGCGTCATTGAGCGGGGTGGGGCTACAAGCATCCTGGCCTAAGTGACGGCCTCGAGTCCTTGGACCTGGGCGGCATCCTGGGCTTGCCGGACGGCCCACAGTTGATCGGCAAGGTCATGGCTGAGCAGAGCCGCCTCCCATCGCGCCTCGCGGTTCAAGACCGCCGTGTCTACCGGTTTCGTAGGGGACTGCTGCGCGTTACCGGTACACTTCCACAGCATGTGCTGCAGAGTCGCACTGGCTCCGCACGCCTTACACGCGTCGGACGTATAAATGCCTGGGTAGCAGAGGCGAAGGATCACCAGATTCGGGTACGTGTGTAACTGTAGTTGTCTCCAGGCAACCTGCTGTTTCTTGTTTAGTTTGGCGTGGGGTGGTAGATATTTGCATCTGTTCAGTCTGTAGTGTTGCGTGATGTCTCTGAAAGTGGTCATGCGATCCCCCCACGTCCATTCTCGCATCGCTGTCGAAGTGTGCGAGACATCGGGACTGTCGGCAGGCGTCGCAGCTCGGCGTGTAAGTCCTCAAGCCGCGGTGTGGGCAGTCGCGTTGCCCGCAAGCGGAGGGTCCGTGTGGGCGGGGGTCCATACGAGGAAACTGTCGTTTTTGCGGCAGATGTTGCATTCGTGAATTTGGAGAATGCGGGCCGCTTCGCGGGAGATCCGGCCGCTGGCGTAGTTGCGTATCGCCGCCTGCGAGTTGCCTATTATCACCTCGGCGTCCGTGGTGGCAATCGCGAAGGCTACGGCAGCTTCTTCGGCTGCCTCCGTCTCTTCCGTGCCTATCGTCGCACTTGTGACGCAAGTTCATACATGATCCGTGATCGCGACCGCGAAGCTGCGGTGGCAGTCGTACCGGGCCGCGTCCACGTAAACTGTGTCTTTGCTATTGCTGAATTTTTTTTCGGCATAGCGGAATGGAGAAAAGCAATACCATTCACCTGGTACATGCTTTCGTTATGAACCATATAACGTACGTCGCCTCCTACCTCAAGTGGCAGGCGACTGAACGCACCAAACTAGATTGTCTCATCCGCAAGACGTACAAACGCGCAATCGGATTGCCAGGCAATACCAGCACGGAAAAATGTCTCGAGCTGGGGTTGCACAATACTCTAGATGAGATAATCGAAGCACACAACATCGCCCAGTACGAACGTCTGGCGAAGACCAGAACTGGTCGACACATCCTCGAGACACTGGGTATCAACTACCATACGCAGCGCGGCGAAAAGGTCGGGATATCCAGACGTTTTTAAACTTTTAAAAATTTTAAACAGTATCGTCAGGATACCCAGACGATACTGTTTAAAAATTGTCCCAACATCTCCTAAAGGTGCATGATAAGGAAATGCAATACTTGTATCTTTTCAAAAGTCTCGACGCGTGAGCAAAATAGCCTTTTGGCGAAAATACGTTAGGACGCCATTGCATTAACGTGCTAGGCACATAAGTTACGGTTACATTGCCACAAAATAACGCAGTGTTTTATATAATTTACAAATGAAAACACACAAAGTTAAAATTTCTCTATAAAAGCATTGACATGCACATCAAAAGCTGCCGTGCAACAATCAATATATTTTTTATGTATGCTCCAGTTGTGAAAAGTAACGTCTCAGTGTTGATTGTACACAAATGAGGTGACTCTGCACCGAAATTTTATTAGTTGTACCTAAGCCACCGAATCGGGGAAGAGAACATAAAGCAACAGCAATTTTACAACCAAAACTCTATACTTAAACAATCGACATAGCATTGTGAAAATTTCTTGTTGTGTTTATCGCTTGAACGCCTTGTGGACACTGGCCAAATGCTGCTTGAGGCTCTGGCATCGCTGCGGTTGCAGAAGGTCAATGCCATGCACCTCGATGTGTCCTTCAGAAGCACCTGAAAATGTAAAATATTGGCACAATTGATGTCTGACACACGTGTAACAACTTAGTTCGCATGACCAGAAACATAACGCACAAAATGAAGCTGAAAAAGAAATGCACACAAACCTTCACGGTATTTATATGTGAACCTTGGAAGAACAAGTGCACAAATGAGCTCTGCTACATGAAAGAAAACAACATGCTTATCATATAGAAAATAACTAGTTTGTCTTTACGACTCTCAACAGTACAGTAAATCCAGTGAAAGGTGAGTATAAAATCCTGATTTGAATGCTTCCAACAAACTAAAATTTAGGAACTGCCAGTAAAATATCTCAATGTGCAATGTCAATTTTTATGAAAGGGAACACACGAACGCATGGCAAGAGCGCTTTAGCAGCTGCTTGTAGCGCTCTGAAGTGGGAGCGATAGCAACCACCGCTTCTATTTCAGTCATCTATTGGCGACCAAAACAAGCAGTCACTGGTGATATGAAACTGGGGGCAAGATTGCAGCCCTTCCCTCTTCAAGGTGATTACGCCTGGCCTCTCGTGGAATTGCCTTGAAGGGGAGGTGATTTATATCTTGCCGCTGGTCCCATATTACCAATGACCGGTTGTTCTGATCGCCACTAGATGACGGGCTTAGAGCCTGTGGTTGCTATCGATCCCACTTGAACGCGCTACAAGCAGCCACCAGAGCGATCTGGCCACGCGTTCACGTGTTTTCTTTCATAAAAATTAACACTGTACATTAAATAGTGTGTACTCGTAAATTTGCTGCCTAACTTTCCAGTTTGTGTGAAATGGTGGCACCTTGAACAATTTTCTGACGTGAAACTCTGCAACGTATGAAGGCGAAAAATCACCATGAAAGCAAGCAGAACATAGCTGCTGCCATTACAAATCTGTGTAAGCTATACTACTATAGCCCACCCACAAAGAATTAGGGGAGCAAGACACACAAATGAACTGCCAACAGAAATGCCGCGAGTTCATACAACTTTAAATACCAATATTTAAAAAACCTACTCTATTAAGACTGTAAAAAATGGAGTAAAACTGAATGACTCTATAAAAAGTGACACGTCATGACATCGCCTTTTGTCATAGCGAAATTGACCAAGATTCTGGAATACCAGTATGCAGGAGAAAATTTTCGGGAGGACAATTGAGTTAGAAGCTACAATTTTAAGAAAAGCTACCATGATTATTACCAAACGATTGGGCTCAACAAGGCTAATGTTGGTTTTGAAGCCCTATGTTCACTAGAATAATTAACAATACCACAAAAAACATAGCCTTCAATAAAAACACCACAAAAATTCAGAAAAGACGCAGCCCTAAGCTACAATGCCTTTGTAATGGTATTATTGCCTCTACTTACCACCTTTTATTGCGGTAACTGGAATAATTTCCCTGAAAGTTTACTGTGCCTCCCAAAGCTGTTGGTCGAATCGCAATCGAAAAATTGATGAACCTCACACTAAATTAGGCTGCACAAGCCTTGAAACAGTGAAGCTGGACCTAATTCAAAACTAGAATATTTGCTTCTAGTTCGTTTCTGTGCCTAAGCTTAAAGACAAGGCTTTCAATCAAGTGCTGCTAACAATGAAATGCTTTCCAAATTGCCCAGAAATAAAATGCGTTCAGGCATTTGTCGTTTTTTCTCACTCAGCCATTCCAGATTAAAAATCATAACCTGTTCCGCTGGTGACCAACACAACTATGTTTTTTTTTAAGAACGTGCAAATTTACTTCAATAAAAACAGTGAATCGCCAGATTATTTCAGAGAAAAAAAGCATTTTGGTCACAAGAGTGCCTTCTGAACATCGCAGAATGTCGTCTGTGTGTTGTTTGTGAGAAAATTTTAGAACTATTGCTTTTTCTTGCCAAACGAATTTTGTTTTACATATAAAACAAAAGGTGCTTGTGTAAACCATTCCAAGCCGAGTGATATTTCTGCGAAAATTCTGCCACATGGGCTTCCGAAAATTAAGCCAGAAGGTTCAATGTTTAGATTTTTTCTAAGGCAAGACTGCAGTTTGCATGAATTGATAAGCAATAAAAACTTACTCGACAGGAGGTATATTTTGCAGAAAAAATAAATATGGGCCCTCAAGTATCTAAAGTTTGCCATAAAAAATCACGAATTTCACTATATTGTCATTTTGGTCCACATTGCCATGCAATTGGCAACACGTGGTGGGCCATATAAAAATTACTTTAGTACATATGTCGAAAGCAGATAAACAGTGAGCGCTTGCTATATGGTAAGCTCAAAGTCAAAACAGCCATCAATGGTAAACTTCAAAAACTATTTCCTTTCTTAAAAAATTGTATTTATATTACTTTCTGTATAAAGATAACTGTTTTTTTTATGTGGCGAAAAAAAATTGCGGTAATATTACAGAGTTTCAGGGACTATTTACAAGCACAATTGATTATTATGAAAGCGAATTTTGTAGAGAAAGAAGAGGCGTTATTTTTAAAATATTGTTTTTCATGAACAGTACCCAATCCCAATCCTGACCTATTCTTCTCCGTGCATTGGCCCAGATTTACCAAACCACAAATAGTATTTGTTCAATCGTTACTTGAGCCCCTAAATGTACACGTTCGTGATCTGATTCCTTTAACTGAGCAACAAAATTCTCCAGAAATTGTTTACCATGATATCTTCCCAACTCACGCAAAGCTATTACCTACAGGCATTTTAAATGGTTTATTGCAGGACCATTTAAGTACTCTGCCAACAAATGTCATTATAGCAACGGACGCATCTCAATCACATGAAAAATCAGGCGTTGGAATATATTGCCCCGTACTTGATTGGTCATTTTCACTTCGCTTACCGGACTTTCTTCCTGTCTTTCTGGCTGAATTCATGGCAATAATGTTAGCTTTGCGAAAGGTAAATATTTCCATTCCAGTTGTAGCAGTCATAACTGATTCATTATCAGTGTGCTCTTCTCTGTCCGCATCTGGTCACTCACCTATAGTGAAACTTTTTAAATCGTTGATCCCCTGTCATCTCCGAAGTATTCATTTAATCTGGACACCATGGCACAAAGGTTTGTTGTTAAACGAAATAGCTGATTCTCTTGCGAAGGCATCCCTTTCGACACCAATTATTCCTATTTTCCCCCATACAGTATACATTACGGTGGCGCGATTTCGCACACTTAAAATCAGGCAAAATTTATCTGACCCTGCACTGACGGCTTCTCCAGAGTACAAACACTTGTTATTTCCCTGGCGCAGTGAACTGACTAAATCAAGGATGATGGAAGTTGTCATCACGAAATTTCGTTGCCGCGTTACCTCCCTCAATTTTTACTTGCATAGATCAGGCATATTGAATCCCCCTATGTGCATTTACTGTAATCAAGAGGAAACGATCAGTTATTTATTATTACAATGTAGCCGTTTCAATTTATTCAGGCAAAGCATACTAGCACCACCTCTTCAAAGACTGGGCTTGCAACTATCACAGCCTGATCTTCTTTCATTTGGAGCCTCTACACTGGGTTTCAGCCACAGGGATGTTTTATTCGCCGTTCAAGAATACATCACTGCGACTAAACGATTTTCTTGCTAAATTGCTGTCTCAAAATTTTTCTTATTTTTTTTCAAACTTGATATCGGTATTTCAAATCAAAATTAAGTTACAAAAAAAATTGTAGGAATGACACAATGCTGAAAGTTTAGGGCAAATTCACCTTAAAATCGGCCAATCCCCTTCTTTGGGTACGAGCCATTTCTACAGGGAAACAACAACAACAACAACAGTACCCACACGACATCTTTGAAAGTCCACAAGGCACCCAGGAAACCAGAAATTTTGTTCTGTCTGATATACTTTAGCAATTCACGGTTTTCAATACAGCAAATGAGCACAATATTTAGTTTAAAATACATTTAGGATGGTCGGCGAAATGGCTGGGTGTTCGGTGTGGAATTGTCGCACTGCCATTATTTATTCTCCTAAAGTTCAAACTATCTGCTTTCTGTTACTGCCATTCTTAGATACAATGTCTGCATAGGAAAGAAAAAAGGTAGGTCTCGCAAAGTTCGCAACGTGAAGTGTTTTTATATTGGATAAATTCTATACTATAAACAGCCGCAAAACAACATTCATTTTGAGTAGTGTAGCACAAAAGCTGTGTACCAGTATACTAACAGGCAAGCGGAAACTTTTCATTTGATAATGTGCGGTGATAGACAAGAAGCACATATTGCAAGACTGATCAGCCTGTAATCAAACTGAATGAAGTTCAATGCGCTGTTCAATCCAACACCACATAGGCATCTTTGCTATAACAAAACTATGTGTCGTTGATTCCTGCACTGGATGGGCTAATTTAATTGTTAACAAGGTGAAAAAAGAAAAGAAAAGAAACGAAGCCGTGGCCGCTACAGGCACGAACAAAGAAACGAGCAATGTAGCACACTGCTCTTACATTAAATCCCCTCTTTCTTTCTTATTTTTTTCGTTTTGTTTTTCACCTTTTTTGCTTCCGTTGCCCCCAACCTGCTACAGGAGAACAATTTGTATCATCGCAACTTAACTTGAAAGGAAGCGAGGGCTGCACTCTTCTGCTTTGTAGATTTTTTCCTTTCAGAAGAAGATTACGAACTGGTACACACGCCGCCACCAAAAGATGACATAACTAGTAACCCCCTTAAAAGTAACACGCTAAGAATGACAAGGTGACTTTGACAAAATTAGCTCCCCCTATCGAAACGACGGCCAGCCTGTCTGAGGCACTTCCACTGTTCACCCTGATTTCCCTACTAGGTATTTCCATCTGTCAGCTCCCATCTTCATTTTGGATAACACTAAGATCAGGTTACATTGACAAATAGACTCGGAAATTTAGTGATGTATCATGCATCAGATTAAGAAACTGTGTTCAATAAAACCAATTCACATGTTGCTTCCTGGATTTTTACTCTACAATACGGCGCTTAAAATCCCTTGAAACTGCGTAACTGTCTTTTATGCACGCGAACCAGATTGACAACGTAATGCACAACACACTTACAGAATATTGCGAGAAGCCTAATGACCACAAAACGACCAGCCGCCCTAATTTTTCACTGTACTTGTTCAAAATGGTCATGTTCACTCAAACGATGTTTTTATTATAACAAGCCGAAAAAACCTATATATAGAGCTTTGGAGCCTTTCGTAAGTAGACTTGTGGCATTTTTTCTGTAGCGGGCTTAACACGCCCAAGTGAGGAACAAAATTTCAGTACAATGAACAATGTAGGAAGCTATCAGTTATAGAAAAAACTAATGCAGCTGATCTTCTCTGACACATCTGCACATTTAGAGAAGTGACGAAGCTTGTGTCTTGTGTGGCGGTAGCCCCAACAGGGCTCGTGCAAAAATTGGCACTGCATCGCTAGACAAATGTCCACACATATCTGCTCAACTCGCTCTAGAAATCCTGGCTGAATATGACACATGATTTCTTGACTGGCAGCGGGACAAGAACAAAACCACTGAGGCACTCACAATGCAAAGCATGAAGTTCCTCTGGAGTGGTCACCTTCGTCTTCCGTGATGAAAGAACAGCACAGTATACTGGTAAGGAGTTCCTTGCAACGGTTTTCAATACCACACAGTGACTTTGCTCTTCGAGTCAAAGAGAGCTTGAAGAGTTTGGGGGGTGCCTGGTCTTTTCTTGGGGCTTCTACCGCTCCTCGTTTTCTGCTTAAGATCAACCTGCACGATGTTGTGGATTAGGCTTTTAGAATTGTATATAAAAGTTTTGCAGAACACACACTTCCTTGTGGCACACTGAGGAATTCATTTAAAACTTAAGACCTCAGAGATGCAAACATTTACAATCGATCCGAAGATGCAATTGACTCTAAAGGAGCAAGTTTATTGTGCACTGTTAAAAAAAACTCATCCAGAAAAACCATGACTTCAGTTGCACATGGAAACAACATTAGCTGGATGTTGTGGGCAGGTTTCATGGCATAGCTTAAGCAGACAAGGATTCTGCAACTATACTTAAAAATATGCAAAGATTGCCTAGTAATCACGAGTAGGACACGGACGGAAAAGCCCACAGGGGGTCACCTGTTGAAGCACAGAAGCCTGTAGTTCTACTCATGAGCGATGCACAAAATTGAATATCAATACCAACTCACTCCGCTAAAAATTCTGATTCAGATTTCGTCATTAAAGAGAAGTACAAGTGGCCAGAAAGTGTGATAGGAGGTGCAAATAAAGACCCGTGAGTTCGACTGCATTTTTGCTGCAACCTTAGTAACATTAAATTTTGAATTGCATTTAAAGGCCCAGTAAGCAAGTATGTCTTGCAGCCTGTCTGTTTACTGCAAATATTCTGATGCTTTAACGTGCAGCATTATTAGTGGTCATAATTACAGTATATATTCATATTACCTATGTCAACATTACTCTGTCCTGCTTATGTGGAGGATTCAATTCTCAAAAAGAAGCGCTACCATTGTAGCAAGCTGAGAGAATCACAGATCCGAAAATACTTTAAATGCTTTAAGCACTTTCTGTGCTACCATTCATTGTTTTCAGTAAAGTTATGTCAAAGAAGAAGAAAAACGCTCTAAAACTTCTCTTCGTTTACAACATGATTAGACATTCAGACCAGTAAGCTTTCCTCTGCACGAAAAACAGGTACTATAAAAGTTGATATTCGGCTCCGTTAACCTATTTATGCTTTATGCCATATCATTATGTTAAACGTGTGTCCTGCTTCACACTATCTCATCAGCAAGAACTCTTAAACTGGGCATCATACATGCTGAAAGACACATTCAGAGCTTGAGCCAAACCTAGTTTCCGGTTGAACAACTTTATGCACTTAAACAACACATCTCGAGCTAGATCGTTGATTATAATGAGGCGAAAAGAGCTCGCACTTGAAAAGCACCAGCAAAAAGAACGATGCCTGCATTCTGTCTCTCCTTATTGAGTTCGTGCTTTTTTCACCTCATGCTTAACAAATTTTTGTATTTATAACATTGCTCGCTGCAGGTTTTTTGTGGCATTACAGTCCACGTTATCGTCAAGTCTAGGCCATGTAATGTATGAAAATGGAACTCAAGATATCTCAATATCAATCCAACAAAATGCATTTTCGCGCCATCTCCTGTGGTTATTACTTAGGCAAAAAGCAGAATGATTGATTCTTCTTCAAAACATATGTTACTTGTTTGCACTACAATAGCCAACTCTGACACTGGCGCCCTTGTAACAAACTACAGAAAATCTGCAAGAAGAAAAAAGTCTAAGCTTAAGAGCTTCGTTTTCTTTGTACTAACATGCAATTCTGCCAAATGAAATAGATGGGATAATATTGGAAGTAATTGTAATGTAAGTGTAAAGAAAGAAATGTGGGCGAAAAAAAAAGATAACTTGCCATGGACAGGGACAGAACCTGCGACCTTCGAATAACACATAATGGATTCCTTGGATTACGCGCGACATACTCCATCTAAAACGCAAGATAAAATGCCTGTCATGCTCAAAAACACAACCACGTAGTGCTGCTCTGACGAGCCTCCGCGACGAACTGCGCAACAAGATTAAAAGCTCCAAATTTCATTTCTTCAACGTAAAAATGCACAACTTTCTCACAATCAATCCAAGAAAATTTTGGATGCACCTCTCCGACAAAAAAGTGAAAGTGACGAAAATTAAAATCAAGGACGCGGACGTGACTGATGCCAGCTGCATAGCAACAGCATTTAACGACTACTTCTCTTCTGTTTCTTGCGAACGGGTGACACCCCGCCTGATTTCCACGCAAACAATCTCGAACTGCCAGACTTGATTATAACAGATGAAGGCATCTTGTCAGCTCTACTTCATCTAGACACAAAAAAATCGGCTGGGCCAGATGAAATACCTAATGCTTTTTTTTATCGGTACGCCGAGTGGTGTTCCAAATACTTAGGCTTAATATTTAGGGAAAGCCTGTTACAAGGCGAAGTTCCAGTAGATTGGAAGAAGGGTAAATTGGTACCCATTCATAAATCAGGTGATAAATATGACGTGAAAAACTACCGCCCTATTTCGTTGTTATGTACAGCCGGCAAGGTTATGGAACACTTCCTTTTCAAACACTTAAGTTCATTTCTGGAGAGTAACCATTTTTTTCCCCAAATCAACACGGTTTCCGGCAAGGCTTTTCAACCACCACACAGTTAATTCACACTACTGATGACTTTCTAAAAACACTTGACAAAGGCGGACAAATAGATGCGATTTTTTTAGACTTTGAAAAAGCTTTCGACCGAGTTTCCCATTCCCATTTGATGTTTAAAATTCGCCGAATCCTAACCAACGAAAGAATTCTTCGATGGCTTGATTGTTATCTATCCCACCGACACCAATACGTTCGGATAGCAGATAAAAATTCTTCCGCTCCCGTGCATTCTGGGGTACCACAGGGCTCTGTCCTAGGACCACTTTTATTTTTAGTTTATCTAAATGACATGTCATCCGAATCTACTGTGCAGTGTCGTTTTTTCGCGGACGACTGCGTTGTGTACCTGCCCATTCAATCAAGAACAGATCACGCCACCCTAAATGAATACTTATCGGTTATTACAGCATGGTGTAACTCCTGGAAAATGAGCCTCAACATAGCAAAGTGCGTCAAGATGACCATAACACGTAAAAAAAATCCCTCGGAATTCACTTACATGTTAAACAACACTGCTATAACAACCGTTAACCAGTACAAATACCTTGGTCTGACAATCACTTCTAATTTGAGCTGGAAAACTCATATTGAAGGTATAACATCAGCAGCACTGCGGCGATTGTGGTTCTTAAAGCATCGCATGAGGCACTGCACCAGCAAAACAAAACTAGTTGCTTACACTACATTGGTACGCCCATTGTTGGAATATGCTGACGTTGTATGGGATCCACACACACAAACTGAAATATACTTACTAGAACGAGTCCAAAATAAATCCCTTCGGTTTATTTACCACGCGTACAGTAGACACTGTTCAGTCACTGAACTCCGTAATAGATCCGCCCTTCCCACATTGGAGTCGCGTAGAAAGCTACATCGCTTAAAATTCCTTTATAACATAGTCAACGGACACTCAGGACTCGCCTTTAACACTTACATGCAGTACAATACATCGCGGAAAACTCGGAACAAGCATGATAACACCATAGTGGTGCCACTTACAAAAACAAATTCTCGGCGATATTCCTTCTTTCCACGAACAATTTCCGACTGGAATGAACTACCTCATGATGTCACCAGCATCGCAGCGCCCGACGCATTCTTATCAGCTGCCACTGCCTGTCTGTAGTAAAAGCTGTCTGGTCGTATGTGCAGATTTCAATTCTTTTTATGATGTTTTTTCACTTCGTGTTAGGAACAAAAATTTGGATTGTATTTTTGATACCGCTCTGGTGTTGCTCCTGTAACCCGAGTATTCATGTTCCATGCAAACCTGTTATGTGGTGATTTTATTTCTGCGCCGTGAAGTATAGTGTTATAAGTGGCTGCAAGTATGAAAGTTTGTATCACTCCTGCCTTGGCCACCAAGAGGTGGCTGGCAGTATGCAATAAATAAAAAAAAATAAAAACGCGTCCGATGCTCTACTTAGCTACAATGGTGGCTATCCTCCCGTCCATTTGATGGGGTATATATGTAAATTAAACGCGGGAGTGTCACTCAGGCTGCCAGCTCGTAATAGGATTATGTGCTACGTGATGCTAATAGACATAAAAAGTGTCCCACACTTGCCATAATGGCAACAGCCGGCACGGACTGACTCTCCCACAATCAACGGCAAATAACACACAGTATTTCAGCTAAATATCACCAAGCAATAAAAAAGTAAAAATGAGTGCTACGTGTCTACAGCTAGCGCAGTATTGTTCTTAACTGCATGCTGCATGCTGCACATCAGAATATTTTTTTGATCCTCCAAGCATGGTAAATAATGAAGAATGCTCATTGAACGTTTTAAATACTGACTCCGGAGAAAAAGTTTCAATACAAGTCTTGTAGCTCTTACCTAGAAATAACCAAATCTTCAAATTACAATAAGGTAACAATGCTGGTTATTTTTTCCACGATTTGTTTAAACTGCGCGAAATTCAAAAAAATATCACGTAATTGTCTTCTAACGTGCGGCGCTTTGAGCACCCTCAAATGTAAGTTGAACGAATTAGCGAAGGCTTATCACGCACAAAGTTCACTTGAACAGGCTTAGGTTGAAGGAATTAGCGAAGGCCTCTCACGCGCCAAGGTCGTTTGAACAGACTATCGGTGACTACGATGAACCATATAAGCTCGTTAGACGGTACTATTAAAAAAAGGAGGGGGGAGTGAAAGAAAGAAACGAAGACAATAAACTTCAACGAAAAAGTGGCTGCCACGGGCGTTGCTGTACGGGACCGGAGGCAGCATTCGGCGCAGCGCAGACATTTTTTTTTCTTTGCAGGCCAACAATAAACATGATAATTCGGGAGAGGGTGCAAAAAAAAAAACTTCTGCGCTGCACCGATGGCTGCCTTCGGTCCCGTGCAGCAACGCCCGCGGCAACCACTTTTTTGTTGAAGTTTATTGTCTTGGTTTCTTTCTTTCGCTCCCCCCTCCTTTCTTTTTAATAGTACCGTCTAACGAGCTTATATGGTTCATCGTAGTCACTGATAGCCTGTTGAAGCGACTTTCGTGCGTGAGAAGCCTTTG